GGAGGTGATATGATCATGTCCCATAGACGTAAAGAAAAGGTTAAAGGCCATTAGTTCTGCTCTCCATCTCACTTCTGCATCAACAAGGTTTACATCTGGATTTATGACTAAACCTTTAGAGGCAGGTAAATCCGAATATAACCTTTAGAATAAAGTGGAATTTAAAAGTGTGGTCAAGGATGTTTACATCCTACTAACCGCAAACTCTTTCATGCATTTGGAAATCCCCTAAAAACACTGATAAGATTGGAGACAAGAGCACATCTTGAATATTCAAAATTCATGGACACAAATCCAGCAACTACTTTTTCATTGTACACATGTAATCCACACTGTCTGGAACATTTTAACTGGTGGAAAACATGCTTCAGGAGTGTTTTAGTTTAATGTCTGAATCTAAATATATTCTGAGATGTTGTGTGAAGGTGCTGGGATTCCCACGCTGTGTGTGTGTGTGTGTGTGTGTGTCTGTGTGTCTGTGTGTGGGTCAGTTCACTGTAAACGGGGATAACGGGTCACAGAGGAAGGCAGAACATTTGTGGGTGGAACCCCAGCAGCGCTTCCTGTCCCGGCTTAGTGGGTTCAACCTCACTGGGGACTCGTGGAGGTCATGGAGCTGTCAGTCATGTGGTCATGTGTTCATGGGAAAGCTTGAGCTGGAGCAGAGATGAATATGACATTGCAGTTACAACACAAAACTGACCTCAGAGCAGAGCTTCTGCACAAGAGACATCGAACTGATAAGATTGGAGACAAGAGCACATCTTGAATATTCAAAATTCATGGACACAAATCCAGCAACTACTTTTTCATTGTACACATGTAATCCACACTGTCTGGAACATTTTAACTGGTGGAAAACAGTTAAACACTTCACGAGTGTTTTAGTTTAATGTCTGAATCTAAATATATTCTGAGATGTTGTGTGAAGGTGCTGGGATTCCCACGCTGTGTGTGTGTGTGTGTGTGTGTGTCTGTGTGTCTGTGTGTGGGTCAGTTCACTGTAAACGGGGATAACGGGTCACAGAGGAAGGCAGAACATTTGTGGGTGGAACCCCAGCAGCGCTTCCTGTCCCGGCTCAGTGGGTTCAACCTCACTGGGGACTCGTGGAGGTCATGGAGCTGTCAGTCATGTGGTCATGTGTTCATGGGAAAGCTTGAGCTGGAGCAGAGATGAATATGACATTGCAGTTACAACACAAAACTGACCTCAGAGCAGAGCTTCTGCACAAGAGACATCGAAAGAAAACACTGCACTGTTGGTTTAATTAGTTTAATTTGGTTATATTAGCTTTAATTTTGTTTAGCACTGCTTTGGCAATACAAATTCAAACTTTTATACGCCACTTCTGTTTATTTCAGTTTAGTTCAGTTTAATGCTGCTTTGGCAATAAAATTCATAATTTATTTATACTGCACTGCTGTTTAGTTTAGTTTAGTTCAGTTTAACGCTGCTTTGGCAATAAAATTCATATTTTGCACCGCACTGTTGTTTATTTTATTTTACTTAGTTTAGACTAATTAGCACTGCTGTCAGGGTTATTTTCTGTTTTGGTTTAGTTCTGTCTTCCTTGTTTAATTTGACCCAGTTTCCTTTGTTCCCATTTTCTCTCCACTCATTTGTTTCCATAGTTACTCATTAGTTCTCATCTGTTCTGATTCTGTTAATCATCTGTCTATTCAAGCCCTCAGTTTAGTCAGTTCCTTGTCTGGTATTGTTTGTATGTTTCAGTAGCTGTGTCATGGTTTCTCCTGAGAATTCCCATTGGATTTATTATTAAAGACTTTTAGTTTGTTGACTTCTCCTGCATTGTGTGCTTGATCCTGCACAACACGTTTACAACTGCTATAGCAATACAAATTCAAATTTTACACTGCACTGTTGTTTTCTTTAACACTGCTCTGGCTATAGAAATTCGGGTTTTATACCACACTGTTGTTTACTTTAGTTATTTTACTTATTTTAGTTTAGTTTCGCAGTATCGCTTTGGCAATACAAATTCAATTTTAACACTGCACTGCTGTTTAGTTTAGTAGTTTTCAGTTTAGTTTATTTTAGTTTAATATTGTTTTGGCAAAAAAAAAATGACACAAAAAAATTTGACACTAAACTGTTGGTTTGTTTAGTTTTGTTTCAGTTATTTTGCTCTGCTTTGACAATGCAAATGTACAGTTTTAGTCCGTTACAATGCACCGTTATTTAGTTTGAACTAAATTGAGAGAGAAAGAATAAGAACGGAATTTCCCATGTTTTTCTTTTCTCTCTCAAAAACTTCTCAGAGAACTAAATTTAGGAGCATTGGAGATGCTCTCAGTGACACTGTGAAGAGGAAGGTCATTTTCCTGCTATTTTTGTTCTCTAGAGACCCCCTCAGCTCCCTCCATATTTCTCCCCTGCTGTGAAAGTCCTGTTAATTGTTTTCTCTCTGTGTTTGTTGGGAACATGTTGCCCTTGACCCCCTGGTTGCAGAGAGAGAGAGACCCCCACTCTCTCCGTCTGACGTCATGTGGGAGCTACCACTCAAACAAACTCTCTCTCTCTCCACCAGGTGTGTTCATGATCAATCGTTGCTCTGTTTATCCCTCAGTTTTCTTCATTCCACTGTTCATGTGACCTCTTTTGTTCTACACATGCACACAGTCAGACTTCACGCTACAGTATTTCTCTCTCTGCTCTGGTCTGCGGCCAAGTCCCTCGTTCCTTCCAGTAGATTGTCCTCCTCCACAGAGCGAGGGAGGGTCGGCTGGGGGAGGTGGAGAGAGGGAGGCAGGAAAAAGAGAGAGAGGAGAACCCAACAGTATGTAAACACCTCGTGTCGAGGACAGGCTGTTCTTAAGTTTGGCATCTCCAAGGAATTGATTTATAAAGCTTAAGATGTAGAAAGACTTTTTTTTTTTTTTTAGAGCAGCAGTAGATCTCTCTGAGCTCATGTGATCAATCAGAAAACCACATCTCTGTGTCATTCTTTCACCACAAACTCTCGCTGTAATGAACACAAGCTGCATTTCCTGTATTACTAACTGACAGGAGCATTAGCGTGCAGCTACCTTAAGACACTAATTAGTGCTGTGCGCCTATTATAAAAATTCTGGTAATCTCCTTTTTTGATTGTTTAACCTGTAAACACCTTGTTATGATTTTCTGGCTCTACCAAATGCATTTTGTTAGGAGATGGATTAAAAAAAATATATAATATAAAATTAAAAAGTAGTTTACTTGAATACTTTATATTGTTGTTGGATACCTGAAGCACTGTAAGATACTTAAAGCACATTTGACCTCAATTTGCATCTTTCTTTATTAATGGCTGTTTACTGAATAAATTACATTGAAACACTGTTCATTTAATTGAGAATTACTTTATGGCTACATGCCATTGTTTTAATATAAGTGTTTTTTTAATGTAAAATTAATAATTTCAATATTTAATTTTATATTATATTATATTTATTAATTTGATATTATATTATAATAACATGACATTGGTGTGTACTTACAAACAATTTAATCATATTAAAAACAATGGTACGATGTAATGTATTTATTAATGACTGTTTACTTCAATAAATTAGTTTGGAAAAATAAAAACCCTGAAAAACAGTTTACTTAATTGAGAATTACTTGATGGTTATATGCCATTGTTTTTTATTTGTTATTAAATGTACAGTATTAACATGTAACTTTTTAATAAAGTTATTATGGTTTTAGTATTTTGTTTTATATTATTATATTTCATTGTATTCAAATATTCATATAAATATTTAACTTGTGTTAATCACATTGTAAGCTTTATAAATCAGAAAAAACAAAGGTGCAAGATTCTGTACTTAATGCATTTTGAATTATGTAATCAAATTAAAAACAGTGGTATGATGTAAAACTATTGATTTATTGTCATGACTGTAAGTATTAAAACACACACACACACATACATATACAGTATATATATATATATATATTTGTTTTTTCTTTTTTTTCCCCCCAAAATATAAAGATATTACACAAATATATACGTAGTTTGAGATTGTTGGTAGATGGACCTGATTACATCAGTTTTGTGCCCTAACTTTTTGATACGAATATACACAGAAAATCAGATTTCTGCTTTCCTGTCCAGGTACCTGTGATTCGTGTAGTCTTGTAACCATGACGTGGCTGTTGGAGATGATCTCTACTGATTAATCAGCTCTGCATTTGGTAACACCCTGAAAAACGCTGACAATCTTTAAAGACCAGAACATGACCGTAATGTGAACAGATCCACAAGCTAATTACAGAATCACTGGAGTAATTTTGTGTCATTACTGGCATTATGTTGTCTTGAGCGTTATCAAACACAAACCCAGTGCAGGAAGTGAGGCCCGCGATCTTTCCTGTTCGGAGAGATTTTCAAAGTGTTTCTTTTTGGTGGAAATGAGGGCGGCAACAGCACAGAGGACAGAGGGGGCGCAGTATTATATTTATTAATTTGATATTATATTATAATAACATGACATTGGTGTGTACTTACAAACAATTTAATCATATTAAAAACAATGGTACGATGTAATGTATTTATTAATGACTGTTTACTTCAATAAATTAGTTTGGAAAAATAAAAACCCTGAAAAACAGTTTACTTAATTGAGAATTACTTGATGGTTATATGCCATTGTTTTTTATTTGTTATTAAATGTACAGTATTAACATGTAACTTTTTAATAAAGTTATTATGGTTTTAGTATTTTGTTTTATATTATTATATTTCATTGTATTCAAATATTCATATAAATATTTAACTTGTGTTAATCACATTGTAAGCTTTATAAATCAGAAAAAACAAAGGTGCAAGATTCTGTACTTAATGCATTTTGAATTATGTAATCAAATTAAAAACAGTGGTATGATGTAAAACTATTGATTTATTGTCATGACTGTAAGTATTAAAACACACACACACACATACATATACAGTATATATATATATATATATTTGTTTTTTCTTTTTTTTCCCCCCAAAATATAAAGATATTACACAAATATATACGTAGTTTGAGATTGTTGGTAGATGGACCTGATTACATCAGTTTTGTGCCCTAACTTTTTGATACGAATATACACAGAAAATCAGATTTCTGCTTTCCTGTCCAGGTACCTGTGATTCGTGTAGTCTTGTAACCATGACGTGGCTGTTGGAGATGATCTCTACTGATTAATCAGCTCTGCATTTGGTAACACCCTGAAAAACGCTGACAATCTTTAAAGACCAGAACATGACCGTAATGTGAACAGATCCACAAGCTAATTACAGAATCACTGGAGTAATTTTGTGTCATTACTGGCATTATGTTGTCTTGAGCGTTATCAAACACAAACCCAGTGCAGGAAGTGAGGCCCGCGATCTTTCCTGTTCGGAGAGATTTTCAAAGTGTTTCTTTTTGGTGGAAATGAGGGCGGCAACAGCACAGAGGACAGAGGGGGCGCAGAGAGAGCGTTTTAGCACTGAGATGAGGCTAACGCGATCGGACGGCTTCACTGAGGCGAGAGAGAAAGAAGGAGGGAAGAGAAAAGAGACATGCGGGGGATGTCGAGGGACCTCTGGGACGCTCTTTCTGCTTTTAGGTGAAACCGCGGCTCCACTTGTACCTGCAGCACCTCCTCTCTGAGGAAAAGAGAAAGAGAGAATGCCAAAATGCTGAAAATAACAATGCAAAGACAATTTTAAAAAGAAAAACAACAACTGCATGTTCAAATGGCTAGAGAACCTGCGGAAAAACATACATTTCCATCAAATTCCATGCTGGTCCACACTGGTTTATGTTAATTAGGGCTGGTCAACCTAGTAAAACAGCATAGTCTTTCTTGTGAAGCTGACTGACAAAGGTAGTGTTGCTGGTTAAGAACAGAATCATACTTTATGCAAGTATGTAACAGCAAAAAAAAATAAAAAATTACTTGAAAAACACTTTACTTAATTGAGAATTATTTGAGGGCTACATGCCATTGTTCTAAATAAATCTGTTATTTATGCTTATATTTACTTATTTATTTTTAATATTTATTAAAACTTTTAAAATAAAGTTATTTTAACATTTTTGCTTTATATGATTATATTTCATTGTATTAAAAATATGTATATACATATTATAAATAAAAAATATACAAATATTATAAATCTAAAATATTTTAAATATCATAAAAGTGCAGGTAGCTAACAATAGATGGAGGACCAAAACACTGTAAATTTAATTTAATTTATTAATCAATAAATAATTAATTAAACCAATTAAAAATGATTTATAATTAAAATTACTTTAGGAAATAATATGAAATAATGTATTTTATCATAGGAAGAAATTATGATTTATTATTAAAACAGCAACTTCTGGAAATATTTTTATTTAAAGAAGAAATAATGCTTTATTATTAAAATGGATTTTAAAAATAGCATGTTTATTATGGGAAAAAAATAATTGAATTGCAGTAGTGGTTTTGTGAAAGTGGATATTAAATACTGTGTTTTCATGGAATATTAAAAAATAAATAGAGGTATATTTATTTATTGGTTTAATTATTTATTGACTTAACTGTTTCGCAATAATAATTGCTTTCATTATTATTAATAAATTGTATTATTTCATTTAGAGTATTTTTGTCCTTAATACCTGTAAACATGTTTGTTTACCATGCAGTAGTAGTACCCTCTGAATGTGTTCTGATGCATTTATGAAAGCAATGTGAAATCACGCTTGTATAGCAAGAACATTCACGTACATTCAGTATGTTTTGGGCCGAAGAAGCCTTCATACCAAAACACAACAGCAGTGTCTTTTCAGCAGGGAAATTAGAAATTTGGTGACCTATACAGTACTGATTGCTGATCCGTTCCACGCAGGCTTTCTCCTCACCGTGAAGAAGCGAAGAGCTGTCACTTTCAGGTAGCAGAGGCTAGAAGATGTTAGAGGTGTGACATCATGTCCAGACACCCGCGGCCTCCTGGGAGTCTGGCTGTGGTGAATCGCCTGGAGGAGAGAAAGAGAGGTGTGATACACAGCCTGATCAATCAAAACAAGAAGAATAATAATAAAAACCTAGATATATGATTGGTACCAATTTATTTGGCTGATGCTGGATATTCAACTGTGCATGATAATTTCCCATATTTTTACATTTAGATTACCTCTGCTGTCATCTAAATTTTCCCTTAAAGTTAATAAATAAAACAATAATAACACTGTGAAATGTAATATTTTGCAGATCTCAAAACGTATATGCATTTTTCATACTGTACTTTACAATGTTGTGATGTCTAAATTTACTTGTAGCAGGGTTATTATAGTTAACCCAAACTAAAAATAAAAGATTAAAAAAAAAAACATTTTTGTTAATTTTAATGATGTACTACAGTAACTAAAACTGAAATAAAATTAATTTATTATTAAAATCTTAACGATACTAAAATAACACTGGCTTTCTAGCATTTAAAATTTATTTTCGTTTGCAATATTTAATTTTAGTTTTATTTGGAATTTACTAAAATAACACATAATTTTAAAAATACCAAAATTGATTACATTTACATGTATTTAGCAGATGCTTTTATCCAAAGCGACTTACAATTATTAAATATATTTTTATATTTAACATTTATAACATGAAAATAATTATTGGTTTATAATTATTGGCCGGAATTTAGAAAATCATCGGACAAAATACTAACATTATCACAGTTGGTGTTGTCCTTCCATAGGAAAATCCATAAAGTGTCTTTCCTTCTTCTCCGAACAATGGAGTTGTCCTGTCTTTATGCTCAGGTGTATAATTCCTCGGCCTTCCCTTCCTTCGATGACCTCACTTCCTGTCTTTCTTCTCTTCACACTTCCTGTTCGGCAATAGGTTTGTTTTTTCCACAAGCTGCTTCTGAAATAGAAAGTTTCCATTGGGAATGTCGTCCGGGGCCCCGTGAATTCAAACAGTGGCCTTGAGTTAAGACAGGCTACGACTAAACTAGCCATGCCAACTTTATCTTTTACTTCACGGTAGATGGCAAGCGAGCAGAAACTTTTCTTTCCGAAGCCACAGTGCTGTGAATGATTTAGCGTCCCTGCGGCGGTGCTGCTGGGAACAGCAGGGCTACACCGGCGCAGGCTTTAGAGCTCATCATTTATGGAAGTTCAGGGGAGAGAGAGGCTTGTTTTGACCCAGCTAGAGCTTCCCGGAGCTGGAGAGCATGAATAAGGCATGTTCAGCCTCCGCTCTGTCTGTATGGTAGGCCTCGGACGACGTGATGGAGTCCAGGGAGGAACAGGAGGGGCCGGTCACAGGAAAACACACAAGGGGCCACACGTGAGGCATGTTGTGACTGGGAACAATGAGGTTTATTTAGCATGACAGCAGCAGCAGGAGATGCAGTGAACACGAGAGCTTCAAGCAGGTGTGTGTCCTGCTGCCTTCAGATCAGTGGACGGCAACATGTTTAGCCAACGACTGCTGATTCTAATTCTAATTTTACTTCATTAAGGAAAGTGATCTTAAAGGTATAGTTCACCTAAAAACTCTCATGTCATTCCAAACCTGTTTTAAATGGCTCATTTTGGATCTCTTTTGCATCCAATTACAATGAACGTGGACTCAAGCTACAAAATAGAACTCAAAAACACCATAAAAGTAGTCCATATGATTTGTTTACTATATTCGAAGTCATATGATAGCTTCCTGACAGAAACAGACTGAATTTAAGCTGTTAGATTACCTTTGCCATCATCTAATGCTCAATTAAGTTAATCTTTACAAACATTGACAATTTAACTAATGTGATCTTTAGCAAATCTCAAAATGATGATCTCTTTTTCATACTGTACACTTTAGGTTTTAGGTTTAGCATTTACTAAACATAAAGCAGCATAAAAGTAGTCCATACTATTTTTTGCACTATATTCCAAGTCATATAATAGCTTTGTGTGAGAAACAGACTGAATTTAATTCAATAATTGTTATTCATTGAAAATCTTGGCATCTGCTTCTATTAGGGTTAATGAGACAACAGCGATTCATCAATGAATCATTCTTTTGAATCAAATCTTTGAAAAGAATCGGTTCATCTGTGTGCAGAGACACACAACCAGTCTGCATAATTTGTTCATGAATCAATCTGATTCGGTTCACTGATTCAATGATTCAGTCACAGCAGTTGAACATTACTTGTGAATAACTTTTTCTTCAGAATGTTTTGTTCTGAAAAGAGATTTTTTAATGTATGACTTCAGAAGACTTGAAATACAGTACACAAGTTGTATGGACTACATTTAGTTTTTTGTTTTTTTTGTCCTGACATTGATAGTACTTGTATTTCATGGAAGAAAGAAAGTAATTTTGGTTTGAAATGACATGAGGATGAATAAATTGTGACGTAATTTTCATTTTGAACTGTTCCTTTAAGGGAGCCTGATGGGCATCTCTGTCGGTCTCTACAAAGGTGGACACCATATTTCCAACATTCAAATGCAAAATTTTAGGAATCAGTCATTGAAAACTCAATATTGATTCATCACTAATCTGATTATAGTGATGGGCATGCAGTGTCTATGCCAGTTACAGCACTGCTCTCTGCCTTCACATTTAAGTGCTGTGATTTGTGAGATGAACATTTGATTACAACAAGGCTTTTCTCTCCTTCTCTGTTTTCATGTATCTTTGATGTGCATTTCATTTTTTTTCTTTGGTTCGCTCTCAGACCCAGCATAACACGCACATAAGGAGGTTTTTAGCTTGGGTTGGGTAATGAACTGTAAGATTTGACTGTGTGGAAGAAAAGGCAGTGAGACGGAAGACGGTCCCTCTTGAGGGCTGCTAAAAGCTTGCTGTCGTACAGCCTTTCTACCGCCACACCCCACCAGGGCAACGATCGCTGAATCCCACGCAGATGCAGTACACCGAACCCACACTGACAGGATTTTGTTAGGGTGACCATAAGTCCTCTTTTTTTTCCCAGACAAGTCCTGACCGGGATTCTCTCCTAAAATGTCCGGTTTTGGCTTTGCTTTCCTGTTGACATGCTCTCTACAGTCCTCATACATTATATTATATGTACATGTTTTTGCATCGCTTTGACTGTTCTTTGTAGGTCCCACCTTCTCACACGCCATGATTGGTTGATTATGTACAATGCCTGCATGCTATTGGTCAAACTACTTTTCAGTCATTACCTTAAGCAAGTATGAAAACAATAGGAAAACAAAACCTGGTTGTTTTATGCAATTTAGAAATCCCAGCCAGGACATGTCTGGGAAAAAGAGGACTTATGGTAACCCTAATTTAGGAAGACCAGCTTCACTAATACTAGCATGAATTTCGTGTTGATTTGGTGAACTTTTCTGTTGAAGCTTGTTGACCAAGTAACTAGCTTAAACAGAAACATTTCTTTGATCAACCAGCTTTACTATGACGATCATGTTGGTCCTCCAGCTAGACCAGCACCAAACCATTTTAGACCAGCATAGAAATTAATGCTGATTTATATAATTAATAAAGCTAAACTGATAGAGCATGGCACTGGGAATGCAATATGCTTAATTTATGACTTGACAGGGTTTCTATGGTTATGAAAAATCTGGGAATTTTAAATGTGGTTTTGCAGACTTGAAAAAGTCATTAAAATGAATAAAATCTTGAAAAGCGTTTATACAAAATGTAGTTTTCTTATGTTCAGCTAGAATATTTCATTAGATATTCAAATTATTTAGTTTCATTGTCAAATGGTTTTTCAATTATCCTTATCCCGAAATCAATAACAAGACATTGAAAATGTGTGGGAACCAAGGTTGTGCAAAATTCAGAATTGGCTCTATTTCAGTTCATGAGTTGGGATTTGAAGTGCATTGGCTAAACTAAACAGGAAATTTAATTGGATTGACAGGAAGAGGAATTGTAATTCAAAGACATTTAACACAGGTGATGCATTCTGGGAAATGAAGTCAAATTCAATTTTGAATTGGGCAATTTAAAAGGCATTCTCAATTCAGTTCTGAAAAGTGCACAACCCTGCTGGGAACCTCACTTGAACTTACTGTTGCTTTGGAAATTGTACATGCTGGTCTTTTCAGCAGGGACATCCATCAAAATCTGCTTAGTTTTCTCAAGTTTGGACCAGGCTGAAAGTCCATGTCTGTGATCTTTCACTGCTATATCAGGTGGACGCTTCAGGGGGCCAGTGTCTCTCCAGCCACGACTGACAGCCAGACCTTTTAAGGCAGAAAAAAGACAGAAATGATCAGTAAGACACACAAATGAACTCACCACTGTATGGACACACAAGCCTTAGCTGGGACTGATATTTCTCTTCATGCTTTGATGTACATGAGCGCCTGTCCTCCCTAAAAGGACAGAGAGGACCTATTAGCTCAGAAATAGACCTTTAAAATCCTCAAGCTAATAAAAGACTTTCAAGCTTCTTGACCACACGGGTTTACAAGACCCAGATCTTCCATGCCGATAACGCAGGATTACGTAGTAAACTCCTGCTTCCATCTTTTTTCAGATTATCCTTTTAAGTCAGGGTTTTCTGGTCTTTATATGAGTTCGATTTCGTCTCTCGCTCTCCGTCAGTGTGTTTTATCAGCTGACGAAGGGCTGGAGTGCTCAACTGCTGATTTGTTGGAAAATAAACACTGACGGTTTAATTTATCTCAGCTGCTCCGGACTCCATAAAAGGTCCTTGGTCTTCTGAAAGTCATTTGTTTACATTTGAGCTCTTGGACGTTATGTTAATATGAGAATGGGAATAGAAAGCCAATGGGTTTCGTAAAGAATGTTTAAGCTTTGCTAATCAGCAAATCTGTGCTATTCTACTCATATATCACATATCTGGGTGAGGAATCATTCAGCGGGCTGGTTTATTTAGTTGATGTGTGTCAACAGCTTTGAACTTCTGTGTCTAGTCATGCTGAAAAGCAGAGGAAAGAGATGTTTATGAATTGTTTGGGAGGAAATGAGGAGAGGGATCTTAGTTAGGTTCCCGCATCAACTTTGTCTGAGATGTTTCGGCCAAAATCATACAAACAGAAACAAATAAGCCAAGAGATACAGTAAGCATATAGAGTTATAAAATATATGCTTTTATTGCTGGTATCTTCCAAAACTCTAAAGGAGATACATGTAAGATTGTTTCAGGAGAAGAGAGTTTCAGAAGACATCTCAAGATTTCCTCAGATCTCAATATGAGCTCAAATATTCTTAGACTGAGCTATGCCATCCATATTGTTTTATCTCTCTGTACTATATTGTCTCAATTAATTTTTATATATGTATTATTTATATGTTTATTATTTATGATATAAATGTAATGCTATATATCAAATACTAACATTGTAATAATCATAGTATAGTATAAATAGAAATACTATTTTTATAATAATACATAAATAGTATAATATAAATAATTTGAATACATTTAATTAAAATGAGTGTATATAATAATATATTATATATAATACAATACACATGTATTTATTGCATATAGATATTATGTAATTATTGTTATATATAATTATTAAATAGTAATAATACTATTATTTAATATTATAATAAAAATTTATATAGAAATATGAAACCTTTACTTTCTTATGGCTGGTCTTGCTGTTCTTACAAACATCTGAGAGTTTGTATACTTTAATGACAGACTGATTTGTATTAGGTAAATTTCTCTATTTAACCTCGTTGCTGTCTGGAAGAAACAAATGAGATATTATTTATGATTATGGTCTTATTTGTGATTTTACTTTCCTATAGTTCTCTCTTTCTCAGGGAGATTTCACTGGAATGGTCTCCCAACAGCTTTTGGCAGCAGAAGTTCAATGCAGAGAGCAAACAGGGAATTCACCTTAAAAGGAGCCAATCTTGAGTCTCTATAAACCCGAGAGAGCCAAGAGTGTATATACAACTGCATGAAACAGTTTACAGTCACTCCAGCACTTCTTAAATAGATACTTGACGTCTGTTTTTCCTGAGTGTGTGTGTGTGTGTGTGTGAGAGAGTGATAGGAAAGTAAAGCCATGCAAACACAATCTAAGAGACCTCTGTGTGTTTTTATAGTCCTGTTTTTACAGTCATATATATCATCCATTGTCTTTTTACTGTCTGATGCACAGCTTACACAACAAAACACTCACTGTTGGGCCACCAGACAAGCATGTGATGAATTAAACTTTGAACTCTGCAAGAAAATGACTTCCTTAGTATGTATGTGTAACGAGGAGGCTAAAGGCGAGTGAGAATCCATATGCAGAAGTTTATTTAAAGGGCAATCCAGAAACAGCGTCAGAAAGGCAGTAGTCTAAACACAGTCAATCAGTCCAATCGGCAGCCAAAACAGAGGGAAAATCCAATAATCAGAAGTAGAATAAAACAGGCAAGAAGTCATACACAATAATCAACAGGCAATGGTAATAGAATGCTCGGTAAGGCAGTGAGACTGGCAATACTTCGCAGAGAGTGTTTGGGCAAGCCATGCTTTATGGCTGCCAAACAGGAAGTCACCAACGAGGCAGCAGAGGGAGCGTGACAGTCAATACTCGGGCGAGGGCTCCCTCTGCTGGCCTGGCATTACAGAACCCCCCCCTCTAGGAGCGACTCCTGGCGCTCGACGAGGACGTCCCCGTGGTCGTGGAGCTGGTCGGTCGGGTCTGGCTCTGTGGAATTCCTCGATGAGTGATGGATCCAGAATGTCAGGTGCATTGACCCAAGATCTCTCCTCAGGCCCGTAGCCCTCCCAATCCACCAGATATTGGAGCTGACCCCCTCTACGCCTAGAGTCCAGCAACATATTGACCTTATAAGCAGGTGATCCGGGCAATCCAGAAACAGCGTCAGAAAGGCAGTAGTCTAAACACAGTCAATCAGTCCAATCGGCAGCCAAAACAGAGGGAAAATCCAATAATCAGAAGTAGAATAAAACAGGCAAGAAGTCATACACAATAATCAACAGGCAATGGTAATAGAATGCTCGGTAAGGCAGTGAGACTGGCAATACTTCGCAGAGAGTGTTTGGGCAAGCCATGCTTTATGGCTGCCAAACAGGAAGTCACCAACGAGGCAGCAGAGGGAGCGTGACAGTCAATACTCGGGCGAGGGCTCCTAATGTGTCAAGTATTCATTGGCGGACTGCAGGCTTTCAAGTTGTCTTTGGTAGCCTTTGAGTACCTCGCTTGTAGCTCCGAAACTTCCGCTGGATTCAAGGGGGGCGAAGTATTCTGCAACGAGGAGGCTGAAGCCGAGTGAGAATCCATATGCAGAAGTTTATTTAAAGGGCAATCCAGAAACAGCGTCAGAAAGGCAGTAGTCTAAACACAGTCAATCAGTCCAATCGGCAGCCAAAACAGAGGGAAAATCCAATAATCAGAAGTAGAATCAAACAGGCAAGAAGTCATACACAATATCAACAGGCAATGGTAATAGAATGCTCGGTAAGGCAGTGAGACTGGCAATACTTCGCAGAGAGTGTTTGGGCAAGCCATGCTTTATGGCTGCCAAACAGGAAGTCACCAACGAGGCAGCAGAGGGAGCGTGACAGTCAATACTCGGGCGAGGGCTCCCTCTGCTGGCCTGGCATTACAGAATGTCACAGAAAAATGACAGATGTCTAATTTTGTTGGTTGAAGTCATTCTCTGGGCATCATGTGAGACCAAAGGGCCTCAGACAAACACCAAAAACAATCACAGGATTATATGTGATTACACCTAAAATTCTTTAACAGCCTGAAAAAAATCACTGTTAAACCATCCTGAAATCCTGGTCTTACCTGGTTTTAGCTGGTGTAGCTTGGTTGTGTGCCCAAAATCCCTCTAAAACCATCTAACCAGACAAGCCTGGGCAGGTATAAGGCCCGAAACCAGATAATGCTACATGCAATCTTAAAGGTACAGTGACAAAAACAACCTGTTAAAGGGTCAAGAGAGGTCAGAAAATGATCATGAAAATAAAAACAACAAAAAATGAAAATAAAATTATTTTTGTGCAATATCCTAGATGGCTCATCCTGACAATTATACAAGTAATTTATATGATATTTTACCTGGGGTTTAAACAAAACCAAACAATTTGCCACAGCAGTGTTAACAGCTATAAATATGCATTTTACTGGTAACCATTCAAGGCAACATTGAAATTCAACATGAATTTGAATATTTTGTTTTGACACGAACCACAATGACAACAAAAACACAATGTTATGCTCTTGATTTAAGTTCCAGACTGGGTGCCTCATCCTGATAAAAATGGAAATGTGGTTTAAAACAGGAACAAATTTAGGCCTTAAAGGGTTCATATGATGCGATTTCAATTTTTCCTTTCTCTTTGGAGTGTTACAAGCTCTTGGTGCATAAAGAAGATCTGTAAAGTTGCAAAGACTAAAGTCTCAAATCCAAAGAGATATTCTAAAACCATCTTCAGACAGACACAAAACTGCAATAAGAGGTTCTGAATATTTTACATGCAGCTCTGTGGTACATCAAACACAGCTGACAGCACTGTGAGATACAACGCACATTAAAGCTTTCAGTGACATTTTCAGTTGAACTGAGTTCATATTTACTTTGATAGATTTAAAAATGTTCATATTCCAAGTTAAAGTTAAGAAAGTTTGCATTTAAAGAGTATTCGCTTTCATTCACCCAATAAACTCAACACAAACTGAAATCATTGAAATTATTGTTTTAACTCGTAATTAAGCAAGAATATTTCTCTGATGTTGTCTCAAAAGATCCTCTGAGCAAAAAAGCATTTTTAGCAGTATTATTGGATGTTTAATAATGCATCTTCACAATGTTCTGAATGTTTTCAGCACTGATAAACCTCTGCACTATGGAAGTCAGTTTCTGCCACAGAATTCAAATTAAAAAATAAATTGTGACTTTTTATTTCACAATTCAGATTTTTTTCTATTCTGAGTGAGATATAAACTCGTAATTCTGAGAATGTCAGAATTGTGAGACAAAAACTCTATCCACTTTTTTCTCACAATTCAGACTTTTTGTCTTGCAATTGTGAGTTTATATCTCACAATTCTGAGCTTATACCTCACACCTTATGACTTTTTTCAGAATTGTCAGATAAAAAGATACAATTCTGAGAAGAAAACTTTGAACTGTGAGATATAAACTTGCAATTGCAATTACAAAAAATTAAAAATAAATAAATTAATAATAAAAAAATTCAGAATGACTTTTATTTTTTATTCCATGGCAGAAGCAAGCTTCCATACTGCTCATACACTGAAAAAATAAAAATTGGTGTAGAAACCAATTACTTAAATTGCTAGTAAATTTTACAAACAATTACAAAGAAACAAGCAAGCATTGAATTAAACCTAAAAATTCTTAATTAATACTGAAATGTTATTTTTTTTGTGAAATATATTCTAACAATCTTTATTTACAACTTTGGAAAATAATTTTTTACAGTGTATAACACGGATGTTCTGCCTGTTTATAAGCATTAATGCTGTAATCCCGAGGCCGTGTAAATCGCAGACCAGAGCGAGAACATCACGCCTGCCTCTGTCAAACAAACATGCCTGATTTGCTGTTCTTCTCGTGTAGAGATCTGTACACTGTCATTTTTAACATAACATAGGAACAGAGCTATACACAAGCTCGATTTATAGCGGAGAACACGAGCACATGGGTCCGGAGTTGACGCACCATTCCTTTTGCTTATTCGCTACTCCTTAAAAAAACCAGAATCCCTCCGTTTGTTTATGAACTTTTACATCCTTCGAATTTTATTACTGACCCCCTTAGTGACCCCTGCAGCTCCTCTAAACACTACGGGGGTGTGAGTGCTCTCATTTAGGTCCTCTTGCTGTTATCTCTGTGATGATGAAGAATGTTCGGGGTTGTTATTTATACTCCTGGTGTCTGATAGTGAGGTGACGGTGGCAGACGTGTTTATCTCTGCCAGCGTTTTCTTGATTACGAAGGGGGCAGGGTGGTCTGCAAAAGAGATGCAGACCCCTGGTGGGACACTACAGGGTAAAAGCAACGCCCAAATGACGCCCTCTGATAATTAGAGTGTTTATCTGATATCTCAAATAACTGAGAAAGACATTTGCAGACTGATCTAAGGAGAGATTCATCTTAGACACAAACCAACTGCTACAGTGAATTTTTTTTTTTTTTTAATACTCAGAAATTGCTAGTAAATTTCACAATTAATTATAAAGAAACAGCAAGTATTATGGAAGGCTGGTTCTGCCACAGAATAATAAAAAAAAAAAACAGTGGCTTTTTAACTCACAATTTAGACTTTTCACTATATATGCTCTATTATATCTATCTATCTATCTATCTATCTATACTCAAATGGTCAAAATTATCAGATAGAATTGTCAGTTAGAATTCTAAGGTATAAACTTGCATTTCTGAGAAAAAAAGTCAGAATATAAGATTTTGTTTTTCTGCCACAGAAAGGATAAAAAGAGACATTTTTCTGCATTGCAAGTTTAGATTTGATCATTCTGAATTTTTTCTCACAATTCTGAATTTATATCTCACAATTATATTTTTCCCCCTCAGAATTGTGAGAAAAAGTAAATTACCTTTAAAAAATTTTTTTTAAGTAGAAACAGTGAAATCATGTTTTCTTGTAAAACATGCTCCAATAATTATTGTATTATTTACATCTTAAAAAAAAAAAAAATCTTCTTTTACAATGTACTTTTAAATACTGTAATGTAAACGATGAGGCAGGGCGACAGGGAGCATCCGGAGGTCCTAGGTGGAGCAGATGGTGCCGGCGAGCGACGCAAAGATGTGGATCCGGGAGGCCGTGGTGGAGCCGGAGCGACCGAGGACTGAGGAGGAGCCGAGGGGATGGTCGCGGCAGGCTCCGGCTCTCCGTCAGCGGTGGGCTCGGGCATGCGCTCTGCACATCGGGGAGATGGTGGGCTGGGCACTGGGTCGGGTGTGGAACTGGCGAGATTCTCCTGGGAACAGGCGGGGGACAGAGATCCATTTCTCGCCAGAGTCCACTCCACAAAGGCGGCGAATTCCGCTCGGCGAATTCCATCTTCGGACAACGGTGCTCTGTACGTGGGGGTGAGGCTGGCATCATAGAACGCGCAAAGCACGTCGTCCGGGTAGGCGCTCGAGGACCATCTTCGGACGACGGCGCTTTGCACGCGGTGTTCAGGCTAGCGTCATAGAACGCGTAGAGCACGTCTGGTATGGTCCTCGAGCGAGCGCTCCCCCTGCTCCAGCAGGAGGAGGAGGAATTTGACGCGAAGGAGGGGATCCATAGAACACAACGGAAACAAGACACTGATGGAAAAAACACGGAAACAAAAACGGAGGGTAGACACACGGAGGTTACTGTTTTTTTTGGGGTCGGTTCTTCTGTCACGAGCAGTGCTTGGAGGAGCGCGGAACGAGGAACAAGGAGACGTGGAGTACATAAACAGTCTTTAATCCTGGGAATGACAGGGGAATTTCACAACATCCAACAAGTAGAACCGACAAAGGAAGACTACACAGACTGGGGCTAATAAACACAGGGCAATCAGGGGAACACAGGTGCATGGAATCAATCAAATGAACACAATTAACACAAGGAGAAACTGGGTCACGGGGAGCAAAACACACACAGACAGTTCAGAACCCTGACAGTATGAGGTCTGAAAGAGGCCTTTTCTACATCTCAATGAAATTCGAAAACAGAATGCATTTGTTAGTCATGGGTTAATCAGTGACTCAAAACACATTTAGCAACACTCATGAATATTTAGACCTTGCAAAACTTAAGAATAGAAAAATAAATCAATAAATAAATACTTTCATAA